TTCACACAACAGTAAAAGAAAACATCCCCCCCCACACCACCACCACCACCAAGCCCCTGTCCCTGTGGCCCCTTGTCCACTCTGTAGCTCACAGGTGGTTACTGTTGACTACACGTATCTGCCACAGATGTCTGGTTTTACGTTGAGCAGGCTTATTTAACGTGCTTCCTCCTGCCATACAGAAGGGGCTGTCGCTGCTGCGGTCCAACTCTGTACCCCTGTAAATGGAGCCTGAGCAAGGCAGAGGGCGTCAAGTATCAGGCCAGGACACCCTGCTAGAAAGAAAATTTTCTGTTGGGTTGGGCAGTGAGTTGACCTGCTTCATGGACAATCCAGTGAGCACCAGAACAGATGTGGGAAAAAAAAGAGAGGAGGAAAAAAGAAAGGGAGCAGGGGAAGAGAGTACACACACACAAAAAGGGAGGGATTACCCAAGAATGCACTTGGTGTTTGCAAAGGGTAGGTCAACCAGTTCTAACTAAAATTTGTGCTTCTTAGCTTTGCTCTTTTTAATGCCTAGAGGGAAAAAACGGGGCAGTGGGAGTAATAAAGCAGTATGACCACAAGCACCATATAAAGCTCTAGTGAGGAATCACGGCAAAAGACACAGCAAAGGTCAAACTCCACTGTGCTTTTTTAATCTAAAATGGGAATTTTTTGGGGCGTTTTGAAATGACCTAAGGTTTTGTAACGATCAAAAAAAAAAAAAAAAAAAAAAAAAGAGTGCGAAGGAGCAAGAGGGAGGGGAAGGGAGAGCGTGAGAAAGAGGAATAAAAAGCAAGAGATACTACACAACCTAGGGGATACGGCAGTGTTGGGCCCCCTTTTTTCCAATATCTGACAGCAGTAGCTGTTAGATGGCCACAGCCGTCAGCACGTGCTGCTCCAGCAAGGCCCCAGCTCCTGTGCACCCACGTGCGTCAGAAGCAAACAGCCGCCTTCACACAGCACAGGCGAACAGCAGCAGCGTAGCTGGCAAGACCGGGCTTTTAGACGTACAGAAACTACT